CTAGAGAGCTGGTCCCTGTGGGTCTGGAACTAGGGAAACAAAGTTGACTCCAGCCACCTCCCATCCAACCTCTGCCTGAGCAGTTATTCTTTTGACATCATTTTTTCCCCAGACATCAAGACCTAAAAGGGGTTTCCACTGAAAGGTGTTGGATCCCTGGGGCTGCCCAGGGATGCTTTACCAAACAGCAAGGGCCACCAAGGCCCGCCAGACCTGGGGTGCCAGTCCTGTGATAGGCACCTCCCCCTCTCTATGCCTCCATTGTGTCCATTCTTTTTATTGAGCACCTAGGATGTGCCACACACTCACTGTTCTAAGCATTTTACTAACTTCTTTAATCCAAACAACAACTCTGTGAAGTGAATGCTGTGCTATTTTAAGCCCATTTGATAGTGGAGGAAACTGAAGCAGGGTTTTAAGTAGCATTCCTGAGGTAGCACAGTGGGCCTGGGCAGAGGTGGGGTGCGCTCTTAGGCAGGCTGGTTCTAGGGTGCTTGCCCTTAACCACTAATTGCTGCACTGCCTTCATCAAACGAATGCTGTTAAGTTCACCTTACCTCAGGCCTCCCCAGGGCACCACACTGGTTCTTTTGAGCCAAGAGTCAGCTCCTATAAGTCCGGTTTTTTGTAAAGCTTCTGGGCTGCTTTCCCATAGCTGGGCCTCAGGCGGTCCCTTAGTAGAACGGGTTGACTAGAGCTCCCTGCCTGCCAAAGGTTCTCTAAAGGTTTAAAAAGCAATGGTGGGAAAGTGCTTTATAAACGGAAAGCAGCCAGGGGACAGTAATGGTTTGCTTGTTTTACCTCCTCAGCATCATCCTGAGAAGGAAGGACGTTTTTCCCATTTCACAGATGGGGGAAACAGAGGCTCAGAAAAGCAAAATGCTTTCACCAAGATGATAGGGAGAGTCGGTGGCTGGTGTCTACACTCAAACTCCAGGTGCGGGCAGGAGGGGACGGGATGGAGACGAGACACCCTTAGTGAGCCGGAGAGGTGAGCGGTGCCTCGGCCCCGCAGGGGAACCCAACCGGAAGGACGGGGCGGGGCGCCCTTGGGCTTGACCCCTGGGGGGCGGAGCGCAGAGGATGTTGCAATCCCCGACCGGAGCGCATCAGGCAGCGGCTGATTAGCTCAGGTTTACATCACCCGGGCCAAAACTGTAGCCTGGCGCCAGGCGTCCAAGAGTCACTCGCCGCGGAAGCCGCGGTGGCTCCGCACGCTTCGGGCTGGGGTGGGGGGCGGAGGGGGAAGTCGAAGCTAGAGCTCCACCGGATCCCAAGCTTAGCCGCAGCGGAGCAGGCCCCAGTCCACCAGGGGTTCCCAGGCGACTCTGAACTTGGGCGTCCGCAAGACACCGCCCCACCAGGGCAAGGTACCCGGCTGGGGGCCAGGGGCGGGAAGGTTGGAGGGGCGGCCGGCGGAGGGTGGCCCGCGAACTTCGGGGCGGCTCCGGGCTGCCGCGTGTTACATACACGCACACACACCCCTTTTAACAAACCCTGCCGTTCGGGGACGATCTGGGTCGAATGTTCCTGCAGGGACTCAGGTGACGCAGCCCCTTAGGCCTTGGGGTCGCCCAAGTGAGGCCGACTTTGGCTAGGGCGAGGGTGCACACCCCGGGCGTGTTAGCTGTGTCCCGGGGGCGGAGGGAGCCGAGGACTGAGGTGTCCGGGTGTCGGCCCCGAGAGAGGTGTGCGGTTGTCTGTGTTTTGGGGGAGTCGTGTGTGTGAGGGTCTGTGGAAGGCATTGGAGGACTGGAGGACTGTTTGTACAGTCTGTGTCACTGTGGGGGTGTGTTTGCGGGGGGTCCACGTGAGCCTGTGGGGTCTGGGTGGGGATGTGTTTCGGGACTCTGTGTCTCCGTGGACGGAAAGGGTTGCGGGGAGGACAGAGCACCTGGTGGCATGTGTTGGCTTTGTGGGGGGCACGGGCGGAGTAGGGCAGGGGTTCCCTGGCGGCGGGGGACGAGTGCAGGGCCAGTAGGAGCACGGATGCAGCGGGCGGATGCGGGACCCTGGCGCACGCGGGTCCTGGGCTGCAGGTGTGTACCTACCGGTTTGCACGTTGCATTGTGCGCGCGTGTGTTTCGTTCCCGCAAACGGTGTGTGTTGTACCTGCAGACTGGGGGAGGGGACGGGAGGGGAGGGCCCAGCCTCGCCCCTTCCCCGGCCTGGGGCTCACCCTCCTTCCCTTTGTCTCATCCCCGCCCGGTTTCCCACCGCACCTCGGTTTCCGCAGGACCTTCCGCCCCGGGACACCTGCTGCTGCCGCCGCTTCGGCTCCCAAGGGAGGAGCCTGGCGGCGGGAGTCAGGGCGAGGCCGCCGACTACCTTAGGCCCAGTGAGTGTGTGTGTATTGCGGGGGAAAGGGGGGAGGGGGCGTGTCAGACTATGTCAGACTGTGCGTGTGGCCCTGTTGCTATCAGTCCTGCAGTCGTGAGTGTGATAGTTGGGAGAGCTGTGTGTGTGTGTGTGTGTGTGTGTGTGTGTGTGCGCGCGCGTGCACGCTTGCCCGTGGAGGGAGAGGTAGGTGTGTGTCACTTGATGTGTGTGTGCCTCTTTTCCACTCTGGATGTGTGTCTCTGCTGGCTGGCTTGGACAGAGTTGTGTTTTTGAGGGGTGTGTCTGCACTGTTGTGTGAGTGTGTATTTGGTACAACCTGCCCTTTTCCCCTGGGGGGATGTCAGGGACAAACAAGAGGTAGCTATTAGGGGATGCCTCCATCCTACAGTTGA